AATAATTTGTTATCATCAAAATCTTATAGATATGGTACAAACTAACTTTGTTCCAATAAAATAGTCATTCAAGTTCTCAAGAACAAATCATATTTTCTACCCAAGTGTTTCTCAATCTCTCCAAATCTCTATATATGAACTAAACAAGCCTAAGGTGTTTAGGAATATTCCTTGATCCCCTAAGATACATCCATGGTTTCTCAATCCCCAAGAATAAAATTATAGGAATTTCTACCATTACCTCTCTAAGTTTCTCATATGATTGTCAGCTTCTCCCTCTATCTTTCAAACGATATTTTGAAGATTGTTTCTAATATAATTGTCACCTTCTCCCTATATATTTGTAGCGGCTGATATTCAACGAATCTTTAATTGGTCCAAAACTCAACACATTAATTTTAGAATAAGAAAAATTATAAATTTCTTATAATATCTAAATTAGAATATTAAAAATATATTTTAAAAAAATATATATTAATTTAGAGTATCTTAGATTATATCTAATTAATATAAAATATATTTATAATATTCTAACATTAATGAACAGTTCTCGAGCTAAATAGACCAAACTCAATACATGTAAACCACCCAAGTCACTCACGAACCAATTAAACTATTGATTCGTCAACCATTGACCATTGATTAAATCAACCATTGACCAATCAACTCATTGACCGTTGACCAAATTAAAGGCTGATCATTGACCATATTATCATCATCGAGTGTTAACTTAACTTTTGGTCGAAGGTCAATAGTGTCGAAAATGCATCTTTCTTCTATTTATCACTTGAGGTTTTAAGGGCTATTTCAACACATTGTTTCTATATTGTTGAAATATTTAGCATATAATCTGAATTATGTAGCATGAATAATACATCCACTGAGTTTATCTATGTTGAGCCCATGCTCACTGTGTTGCACATTTCCTTCTTGAGTCCAACTATCCTATGTGATAATGCAAGTATTATTCTTCTATCTCACAGTCATGTTCTCTCATAATCATGTTCTCCATAGCAGGACTAAATATCTTAAGTCTGACCTATACTTTGTTAGAGAAAAGTCTATTTCAAATAAACTTCATGTACAATGTGTTCTAAGTCATCTTCAACTTATTGACTCAATTACTAATCCATTATCTTATTCAAGATATACTATGTTAATATCCAAACTCAAAACTCGAAGTGTTTGTTGTTGAACCACTCTGAGTTTGAAAGGGATATTAGAGGTACTTGACGCCTTTTATTTGACTTGATTTCTCCCTATCTTGCGATGTTTTTGTCTTTTTTGTCTAAACTACATAGAGATTAACCGAGTGTAATTCAGTTATTTGTTGTGCACGGCTAACAATTTGAAATATTTTTTAAGTTTAAACTGTGTTCAATTTTAGATTATCAGTATATAAAAAATTTATATAGGAATAATTATTTGTTTATATATAAAATAACTAGACAAATATATGTGTACATGTTTGCTAAAATTATCATTATAATATATAATACATATTAATTATTAAAATATGAAATAGAAATATATTTGATTAATAAAATTTAATTATTTACAATATGTTCACAATTATTTGAGAGAATTGACCGTTTGATAGAATTTTAACTTTGTGCTTCTTGTTATACATTTAATCAAAATTGATAGAGTTTTAATTTTTTTTTCTTCTTATTATGCACTTAATTCACATGAGTTTGATAGCAATCACATGGCCACGTGACAAAATTTAATCAAAATCAAATTTGAGCAAAATCAAATTTTTTAATTGTAACAAAATCTAAATTTGACTGAATTCATTGTTGACAAAATTCAAACTTTTTTAATTGTAACCAAAATCAAATTTGACAGAATTCAAACATCAAAATTGTAACCAAAACCAAAATTTTCATTAAATAAATTAAAACATCCCAATTGACAAAATTAAAACATCACAATTGCTACAATGACAATTCATATGTCACATTTGATTTAATATCATCTCATACACTAATATTATTACATGAATTTGAGAGCTATGGATAACAAAACCCATGACAACATAAGTGTAATCATCGAACAATAACTTTTGTTTTTTCCATTTCAAGTTTTTTCTTGGTCTTTTTATGCTTATTTGAAGTGACTTCTACACCAAATTGCTTGTCAAATTCCTTCTCAACTTTCTTGTCAATGTTCTTTCCAAATTCCCTCAAATAAACCATTTTCATTGCAATATGTAGGAATCTTTTGAATTCTTTAAACCTGACCAACTTCATTGTTAGAAATTTGAGTATGATAATCCTGGATAACTTTTCGAACAAAGTATTTCGATCCTATTATTGTCTGGATTCACGAAATCTTTGTGGGGATAATTCTTGAAGAAAAATCTGCTTCTGACAATAGAGAACAGATCAGGAATGTAGAGAGAAAGTATGGTTTTGTTGGGGATAATTCTTGAAGAACAATCTGCTTATATAGGAGATTAATAACAGAAACCAAAAAGACACAAATGTTCGGAAAACGGTTAAGGCGGTTGGGAAAAGATTCAACTGTTCAGAAAACTTTCGAACGGGTTCAACTGTTCAAAAACTATTCAAAAATTTCGAACGGGACCCCAGCCAGGGGCTCTGCCCCGCACCCCGCCAGGGGCTTCGCCCCTTGGAACTCCAGCGGGGCGCTGCCTCGCACCCCGCTAGGGGCTTCGCCCCTCGAAACTCCTTTTCAATTATTCGCATTCAGTTATACGTTGCCTCGACGAGCGTGAACTCCGCACTATCCTAACTCGTTTCCAAGCTTAACGCATAATTGCATCGGCCTACAGTAAATCACATTACTACTAAAATACATTGATGATACTAAAATCACCAACATTCATCGTCCCAGATGAACAATTCACAGTTTACCTCACTCTACAATTAACTACAGAATAAGAATGAGGTAAACTTAAGAGAAAAATCAAGAAACAAATTAACAGTTGCTTACCCCTAAATTTCGACATTTCCAGAATTTTCTATTGGTGTTTGAGATCCACATCTTCATTGATTCATTACACTCACACTTGAGTAAATTCAATCCACTTGAGTTGTCAATTGATGAGGTTTTGCTTCCATCCATTTTCAAACCCTAATTTATTATTCACCTAAAGCATGTAACATGACGGAGAAGATGAAGAAACAAAGTTGGAACGACGAAGATCGATGAAGAACGATGAAACCTGCAGCTGGAACGAAGAAAAAGATGAAGAACGACGAGGATTAGAATGAGGAATGATGCAGAAGATGAAGGACGACCAAGATAAATATTTGTTCTGTAAATTTTTTAATGTATCATTTTTAATATCCTTCTAGTCTTTTTTTTAAAAAAAATTATCAATGATAAAAATTCATATCATATACCAATGTCCTTCTAAATTTATAAAATACACAAATTTCTTATAAATGTATATTTCTTTAAAATAAAATAAATCATATATTATAATGTTTGTTTTTTAAATATTTAACTAACTAATTAAAAATAAAGTTTCAACAATTTTTTAAAAGACTCTTTTTTTTTATAAAAAGAATGTGACAAAAAATGTGAAATAATTATAGTTAATGTAATATAATTATCCTAATTTGTATATTTATGGTAGTAAAAATATATTAATTTAACTAATTTATTGTTAATAAATATATTTTAATATATGAGTTTTATTATAAACTATAATTAATCTATTATGATTATTCCTATTTATATCAAATTAATAATAAATTTTAATAATTATGGAGTAATTCATATTTATCTAGAGTAAAAGTAGAAGAGTTAAACAATTATTATAGTCATTCATTTATATACATTATCATTTATAATGTGTGATTATTATAATAAATAATAATTAATTACTATAATAATTTTAATTTAATAAATATTAAATAAACTTAATGTAAAATAAAATAATATACTAATAATGGACACATATCAATTTTTTAAGTGAGGTTAATATGGATATTTTGGTTGTAATGAATTTTATAATGGATTCATTGATGTGGATTAAGCCAATAAAAGCCTCAAGCTATGTGTTAGATAGTATTTATAAAGATACCTATCAATTATGCATCAAAATATCCACATATTGCCAATATATCCGACGATTATTTTCTCTATCGTTTGGTTTGTTTTTCAAATTTTATAATTGAGAGATTCTGGTCAGTGATTAATTTCATTTGTATTTAAACACCTTATCAATACACCGGATATAGTTTGATTTGAAGTCTTCGAAAAAACCAAATTATGAAGAAAAAGATGAATACTTATTTTTAGACTACTTCAACATTAATATAGTAAGGAAGTTTCTTTAGCCCATGTAATTAAGATTTTTTTAATGCAATGTAATTAGAAAAGTTTATATAGTCAATTCTCCTTGACATCATTTTGGTAGAATGTTTTTAAACAAAATAATATTAAATATTAGAGACTCTATCGTCTAACTCATTCCATTAGCCCAACAACCAAGTTGTTTTGATCGTATTAGAAAATATTCTTCTATTCTTTTTATAATATATACTGTTTCAGTCGATTTCAAGTTGGTTTTAATGCAGCTAAAACATGCTATTATCAAAAAAATCTAAAAACTTGTTGTTAAATTGTTAGGTTCGTATATAAATTGTTAGTTTCGATTCACAAAAAATGTAAGACTATTTTTGTGTCTCTATAACATATACCAAATTTTTAATTTAAAAAAACGTGTAGCGCCACCTAAATTTTTTCATAGCAAATTGGACCTAAACTTCAAATGACCAAATCCAAACTTTCATGTGCATTTGGTAGTCAGCGATTAAAGAATAATGAGTTGAAGAGTAGATGATGCAAAACAATATAGCAACCCCTCCCTACCAATATCAATTCCATTTATGGTCACTAACTAGTAACATTTACTTATTCATGCAACCGTAGCATTTACTTATTCTATATAAACAAACTAGCACCCTTTCATTTATCATTCCATACCCAAATTGTTACAATTATCACTCCCCAAAACCAAAACAATGGCACCAACTTCATCACCACCAACCACTCTTGCTTCCAAGAATCGAGTTCTCATCATTGGTGCAACAGGTTTCATGGGAAAATTTTTGACTGAGGCAAGTCTTTCCTCGGCACATCCTACCTATTTGTTGATCCGGCCAGGAGGACCTCTTATTTCTCAGAAATCTACCACTATTAAGACTTTCCAAGAGAAAGGAGCCATTATCATTTACGTAAGTTATAGTATAAATTTTTTGGTTCAGAGTTCAATTTCTGACATTCTATTCTTCTTCTTAAACAAATAAAAATTATGTGACAATGCAGGGCGGGGTAGATAACAAGGAGTTTATGGAGAAGATATTGAAAAAGTATGAAATAGATATAGTAATTTCTGCAATAGGAGCTGAAAGTTTGCTGGATCAGATTACTTTGGTGGAGGCAATGAAAACAATTAAGACCGTTAAGGTATAGTATCTATATTCAAATTTATGGTTTAATTAATGAGTTCTATCTTTTATAATAAAACAGTTTTTATTATGATGAAACTTGAATTAATGGACAGTTTAGAGTATAAAGCCATAAATAAACAACTACTCTCTCTACTGTTTTTTCTAGTTATTTGTGGTATTAGTAGTTATATATAGTAGTTACTTTATATGGATAAGTTTTCAATTATTAAAGGTATCTTTATTTCTTTAGAGCTATTAAAAGCGGTACAGCTAATATAACCTAAAAAAAATTACAAATGTGAACCAACCATTTTAATTAAAGATAATCTTTAGAGTACACAAATGGTCAATTACATTAACCCAATTTTAGTTATTGATTTAATAATTTCATATTTAATGACTTAGATTTATGAAAGACAACATAATATTTATGTTGATCTTTTATATATATATATATATATATATATATATATATATATATATATATATATATATATATATATATATATATATATATATATATATATATATATATATATATATATATATATATATATATATATATATATATATATATATATATATATATATATATATATATATAGTAAATGAGACTTCTAAAAAAATTGCTGGGGGTCTCCTGAAAATGTAAAACTCATTTATATTTTTATGAAAAAAAAAAAGCATAATGACTTAAAGTTTTTTAATTTTAAATAGTGGATTGATATTAGACTATTGTGATAAAGTATATTTATTTTTAAAATATTTAATAAATTATTTATTTTATATAATTAACAGGTTATTGTTTTTAATGATAAAAACTTGTTAAGCATATGAGAGATTAAAATGTGTAATTAAACTAATTAAGGTGATAAAAAATATTTTTATAGGTACAATTTGTTGGGTTAACTTTACTTAATTATTTCATTTAAAGATTAACTTTTTAAATAAAAATAAATACAAGAATAAAATCTAAATAGTTTGGTGTTAAAAGTTTGTCAATAAAGTTGATATGAATCACATGAATAGTATCATTAGTAAAAACAGTTCATAAAATATGTTGATATCAATCACGTTTATGATGAAACCAATATGTTGCAGAGGTTTTTGCCTTCAGAATTTGGTCACGATGTGGACAGAGCTGATCCTGTGGAGCCAGGTTTAGGAATGTACAAACAGAAGCGTTTGGTTAGACGTGTGATCGAGGAATCTGGTGTACCCTACACCTACATATGTTGCAACTCCATCGCATCTTGGCCTTACTATAACAACTGTCATCCATCGTCGCTTCCTCCACCGTTGGATCAGTTGCACGTCTATGGTAACGGCAATGTCAAAGGTATATAATAAAACAACCACACTAACCATAATTATCATCCTATTAGTAACGTGATTATGATTAATTCTGCAGCTTACTTTGTTGATGGCTTTGATATTGGAAAGTTCACTATGAAGATAGTTGATGATCATAGAACAATCAACAAAAATATTCATTTTCGTCCCTCTATCAACTGCTATAGCATGAATGAACTCGCTTCTTTGTGGGAGAATAAAATTGCCCGGAAAGTTCCTAGACTCGTCGTCTCTGAAAACGATCTTCTAGCAATAGCCGCAGGTTCAATCCCAATATTTTCTTTTTCTTTGTCGATAAACGAAGTGATAATAACCACTAAAAACTCACTATAACCGTGAGAGTCAGGGTTTGAACTCTGATGTTGTCGTCCAATCTACTATCTTCTTAATATTATGTATATTCTAATGTGACAAATAATATTAAACAATGAAATATTTTTGTTTACATGGAAATGCAGAAAATATCATACCAGAGAGTATTGTTGCATCACTCACTCATGATATATTCATCAATGGATGTCAAGTTAGTTACAAGATAGATGGAGTTCATGATGTTGAGATTAGCGCGCTGTATCCCGGGGAATCATTCAGGAGCATGGAGGATTGTTTTGAGAGCTTTGTTGTCATGGCGGCCGACAAGATTCATAAAGAGGAAAATGGAGTTGCCGGCGGCGCAAAGTCTATAGTAGAACCAGTAATAATCACAGCTTCCTGTTGATGTTCTCTATGTTATATATTCTTTTGAGTCATAAGACATGTTGATGTTATTTTCAAGGCTGTCATCATTTCATGTGTTTTTGTTGAAAATTTGTACTCTACTACGTATGAATAATTGTTGTAGTGTCTATGTACGTTCTGAGTGGCAACAACTTACTGTTATTCTGTGTTTAGTTTAAAGTATTCATGTAGTTGTGTTGCTTCCTAATATTTGCTATAAAAGTTTGCTAAGTTTTTCAAAATAAGAAACTCCATCTCCCATAAGTTTTTCATTCTCTCACATTTTTTCTGATCTTTTATGCATGCAACTCCTTAATAAATTATAAGTAAACTATATTATATACATATTTAAGCTACTTTAATATATTCCTTCTTTTGATATTGATTCATGCTTTTCTGATTAATTTTGGAACATTTCGGGGTAGAGTTTTAGCTTCATTGATTATGTTTGTCATAATGTTTTGTTAATCTTTTAAGTGTCTATAATTGTGATTATGGTATGGTTTGTCTTGTGTGATTATAGAAAAATGGTAGACGAGCAACATAGTATATACATGGTAGGTTGTCTTAACATGGTTCAGTGCGTTAGGAGAAAGCTAAATCTCCGCGAGTAGTTGGAGAAACTTATTATGCTACTAAGATATCATCTTCTTGTGGTCATGCATCTCCAGTCATGACGAAGCTCCTTCTGTACATGTTCCTTATGATGTTGTACATATGTCGGGCCTGTTGCTTCATCTAACAGTTTTCCAGGAATCCCGGATGACATATAACTACTTTCTTGATATGTGAATCATACTGCTAGACACGTGTAGGAATGAGAGGTGACATACACTGACTCTTTGAAACATTTGGTTTATAATAATTGAACTGTCTAGCATTATTGTATCTATTGTTCCAGTACTGTAACATATTGAAGTGCATACCATGCTAGCAAGATAGCAATGTTGTCGCAACCGTATGAGTCATGCTAAATATGTTGAATAATTTGATGGTATCAATGGGATCAAATTAACTCCAAAATATATTAGTAATTTCTTTTCTCTATGGTGTGTCTCTCACACCCTTGGAAATTCAAAAATACTCTTAAAGAATTTTGAAGAGTCATCTCCAAACGCACCTTAAATCATTTCATTCTTCAAAAGATAAATCAAACAGTCACCTCGTTTTTGTCAAAAAATGTTTCGGAGATGCATCTCTGAAATTTTCTAGGATGAATTCGAAGATACATCTCCAAAAAAACTCCTAACTTCATTTGATTCACGTTTTTTTATTGAAATTGGTGTTGTTTCCGAGGACTCTCTGTCGATTTTAACCAATATTAGTCATAGGAATCATATCCTTGTGTTTCGTTCTTGTGCACAAACTACCATAAAAAAACTCGGTGTTTTTAGAAAATCAACTCTGAATCGAAATTTTACTATGTTATTTCATAAAAAAAATCAGGGATCAAAGTCTCCTATTTAGGGACTAAATACTAAAAATGGGGCGCCGCCCTAAAAATCCTAAATTCTTTGTTTTTCTATTTTATTTGATTTATTTTCTGTTTTTCATATTTTTGAAAAAATTTATAGACTCTTGATTTGATTTTATTCGATTTTTAGTCGTATTTTCATATGTTTTTATAATTTTATTTTAAACGTTTTTCAATTTTTCAATTGTTTTTCTATTCGCACGCGGTTTTCGCACAAACAACCTCTGGCCTCCTGATGCAGATTTACTTGCGGGACCAGCTAAACAAGTCCCCGAACTATCTGGTCGAGATGCGATGCGGTAGAATGGCTTTATTTAGAATAAATTGGAAACAAACTTGAAGAGAAATGTACGCGAATTTGGTAAACAACAAAATAAATAAGCAAAAGGCAAGATAACTTTAAAATTTTGTAATGTAGATTGCTTTAAAAAGAAATGTGGACGCTATCATATATTTTGTAGGAGTGAACTCTTTTCTCTTAACGCTTGGTACTCGGAGTGTATCCCTTTGATAATTTTACAAAATGCGCCCCCCTAAAAATGAAAATGGACATTGCTTTAAATAGGAAAAGAAAATAACCGTATTTCTTCTCATGTTGGTCCTGGTGGAGACACGTGTTACCCCACCATCTTTGTAACTTCTCCACGTTCTCATCCTTTCAAATTTATTCCCACTTAAAGGTTCTCATACTTTGTGTTGGTTTCATTGGCCATCAGTCGACACCTTCGGCAGCATAGTCTTGAGTCGACTCTCAATACATCTTCTGTTGGCGTCGTTTCCTTCACCATTTTCCTAACCTGTCGACCCACATGTCAGCCTTTTCGTCAACTCTTTTAGTCAAAATCTTCCAGCCAACAAGATGCCCCCAAAAAGCCAGTTTCGACTGAGCACTGTGTCGACTAAGAAACTTGGCGTTTTGGTTTCCTGCGAGATTTTGACTGCACCTTGGTAATGACCTAGCAACACAATCATTCTCCTTCCGTCGAATCAGCCACGTGTCACCCGATGTCTGACGTAATAATGGCGCCTTTTTGCGCCACGATTTCTAAGAAAACTCATCATGCCTAGCCGCGGCCTAAGTTATGGGCTTTAACCCACTCCCACTACTCTAGAATCGGAACAGTCCACTGCCTTTTCAACTACATGCAATTTGTCTATAAATAGTTATTGCCCACATTTGGTTTTCTTTTCCACCTTCTCTCACACTTTCCTTTCCTTCCAAATTTTTCGCTCCCAAAAGTTCTCTCAATCTCTCTTTCAATGGCTTCCTTAACCGCTTACGCTACTCATACAATTGGGAACAACCTCATTGCTTTTGTTCTTTTTGAAGCCAAATCTCTCAGGCCCTTTCCCAACTCAACGTCTGTTGATGACGCGGTGGTAGCAACCTGGCAACGCCAGATGATCATACCTTTTGCGGTGGCTGGAAAATTGCATTCCTTCCATGGCCCATATCCTGACACGAAGTCCAGCCATGAAGAACTCCAAGCATTTTTCCCTTGCTATCTTCCTACTATACCCCCCCGCTTTTCAGAAAGGCGGCACCTTCGACCTCAAGTTCATGGCGTCAAAAGCTAGAGTTTTCCGGTCGATGCCCACTCCTGGAAATAAAGATTATATCTCTTGGCTTAACAGAGTCCAAGGAAAACGTCATGAGCAATGGAAAAGAGGTGGTATCTTCGACGCCATTCCACTCTCTACGAATGCTCACAGAGTTAACGCTTTCTTATTGCTGGCGTTGATGTATTTTTGGGAGGGGTCGACCAACACATTCCACTTCCCTTGTGGTATGTTGACGCCGACACTTTTCGACGTGGCGGCCATCACAAGCCTTTCTCCCTTGGGCGAAACCTTCAACCCGACTCAGGAAATGACCAACACTTTCGACTTCGATCGTGTTGGTTTCCAAAAATATATCGAGGATCGTCATGATAAGGATTCCGACGAAGTTTCGGATGAAGAAAATATTGTCTTCCTCACCCTTTGGTTGTCATACTACCTTTTCTATTCTGGCTCTCTGCAAATAGCCAAAAGTTACATCAACCTGGCGATCTAAATACAAGAGGGTCGACAGGTATTGTTGGGTAAGATGTTATTATCTTCCCTCTACCATTCTCTTGGTCTGTCAACCTTGAGGTTGAAAATTCTCAATGAGACCACCAAAGCCTTGAATATTTCAGGGCCTATGTGGCTATTACAACATTGAATCAACGCCACCTTTGATTACCAGTTGGGGTATCCTGTGTCTACAACAATGCAGCATTTAAATGAAGAACGTCACATAGAAGGCGTTCGACTCGCAATGATGACCACTCAAGAGACTCCCAACAAAACCCTTTTCATGAAGTATCTCAACATGTTTGCGGAAACCACATCCTTCGTCCCCATCATGTCTTTCTTCGTGAATCGACAGTTTGGTCCGGCGTGGTTCAAACATCCCTTCCCTGGTGTTTCCCCTAAAACGGCAACAGTGTTGAACTCTATATGGAATTGAGACGGGGAATACAGACTATGGTTTTATGAACTACCAGCCCAACTTGGTGGCCCGTCAATTTGACTTGAGCCAGCTGCTGCCCAAGTCCTTGGTGCGACATTCTTCTGATATTGTTTGGGCTGGTCGACGACTAAACCTGTCAGGCCACAACAATTGCCTTAAGTTCTCTAGGTCGACTCAACGCCTTGAGTTGCCTATTTTTGCTTTCCAACCATCCTTCTTTACTACAGAAGGTTTTAATGTTTGGTGGTTAAAGTACCAAACTCAATGTTTTCAACATGACCTCTTCCTGGAAAACATGGTTGATGCTTTCGCTTCCCTTGCTGGCGAAGTCCCCGCTCCGACAGTTGTTGTGTCTATCAAGAATATCCAGGGAACTGGCGCCACAGAGGACTCTTCAAAGAAGGTATCGCCTTTGCTCTTCTCTTGTATTTGACTAATTATCATTAATTAATCATTTGTGCTTACTCCTCATATTCCAAAACGGGAACCAACTGTTGCATCGACCTCAACGAGGCTTGCAAAGAAACAAAAAGTCCTGAATTCACAGGTATCACATGTTTCGATGCTTCTTTGCACTTGTCATCTTCTGTTATCTTATCCTGTTGTTTGTTAGGCCCCTGAGAAAGCGTCAACTCTTGAAGGTGGCTTGTCGGATGAAAGCACCCAATCTCGTGTCTTTCCCTCTGAAACATCGACCTCCCCTCCAGCTACTCCGGTGGCAAAGAAAAGAAGGATCCCATTCAAAAGACACTTACAAAAGCGGTCACTTCGACCGTAAAACCTGATGCCCCTGACAATCTGATGAGGTTTTCATACCTGTCGACTCTTAAGTCCCCCCTCCAAGACACAAGACTGAGGTATTTCTCGTCTATGTCCTTTTGATCCATATCTTATTTGGGTATTTTCTTACTTAATCTCCCTTCTACAAGATACCGCGGTCGACTCAACTACTGCTGAAAATAATAACATTGTTACGGCTACCGCGGGGAATCCTTTTGAGACAGCTCCCATTTTTAGTCCCGAAAAAGTT